TTTTGGATATAATAAGCTGCGATCCGCACTGCGAAAACTTAAAAACGCACTGCCCAAAAACTATTTGAATAAATTACACGAAGATACTAGCGGCACATTCCAACACGTTATACAATACAAAATGTACTTGGTAAAAAAACGGACGCATAAATAACACCATTTCAAGGCGTTGCGATCTTACAACCATTCAGTGGATATAGTCAAGAAATTATGATGTTATAGGAGATAACTAAAGGAGAGACTTCTCCAAGTGTTAGGTCTGTACCTTTTCCCAAACTTCAGATATTCGTCGAAATATTTTGCACAAATTTACAGAGCCACTGTATGGAGACGCCATGTCGGTGTACCTCCGCTATATACCAACATGGAGGCCGGAAAATACCGTAAACATCTAAAACTTACTTTAGCTATCTAGACAACTAATTATCTGAGATGAACAAGCAAACACTTAAATAAGCACTTTTTCTAACACTTTAACTTCAAAACGCTAAAAATCACGAGATAAGTATATATTTTTCCAAAACGCTTTCGTAGCTTTATGTCACCCACCGCCAGAGCTCAAAATTCAAAATGTGCTTGTTTCCAGACGAAGCAAGCTATTCAGCCGAAAAGTTGTCAACAGATATAAATTTACCCCTTCTTATTCCTGATGAGGATAAAAACTTTGGTGGCTCTTTAGTTTTGGATTTTAGAGCATGATGACGTCACGTGCAAACCAAGAATAGATCGTAGAACGTTCCTCATCTAAAGCTTTCATTTTCCTCCTATACACCTGTAATGATCAATGTTCTGACGAACTGGGTTGGTGCTCTAGCTCTTCAAAGTTGATTGGTATCTTCACTCAAAAATCTGATCGAGCCACTTCAATCAACTGCAGAATATATGGGGACCACTCAGGGGCGGAGCTAGTAACAGCCGAACCGATGAACTTGCCTCGGTGAAAATTTAGAAGTTAGTTACTTATTTCAGGATCTTATAAGAGACTATGCGTTAAAAAATAATCAGATATGAAAGAAGTCTATGTTTCTGATAATGCGTCTGTAAGAATTTCCGTCACGCTACAGCCTTGTAGACTGACTATACAACAATAAACTACCTCCATTACCTGGGCTGTAAACAGAACGTGACGACATTTTTATCAAATATTTGCCTTGAGTGCTAAGCATTCATTATGCCCGTCACTTGCGTCAATGTGTGTTACGGGAAATATTTTATTCATGTTAATCATTCAATTTTACTCGAATAAAAAAAAAGAAAGCCATAAAATTTAAATCAAGTGCTGTGAAGGAGAGGAGGAGCGTTCTCTTGTTTATATTTAGATTTAATGAAAGAGCAAATTGTCTTCTCTTCATTCCGTTCGCAACAAGAGCTTCGTTTTTCTGAACAAAAGCGTGATAATCACTTTATAGTAAGGGACAAAACAATGTCGGCAACCTTGATACCCAAGTGTTCAACTTAATTTAATTTTCTTGGCAATATTACTGGAAATAGAAAATCTTTTGCCTGATTTCAATCTTCTCTCTGGTTATATTCCTTATTCACAAGTTCTTACATTCAGGATGAAACCATTAATTTGTTTAAATGGAATTGCATTTGCCTGAAGTAGATGTGTTAGTCTACATTTTGTTATCAGTAGCTTTAATCAGAAATTCGCGTGAAAATAAACTGAGTATTATTATTCGTTACCAATAATCTCACTATTGGAACATTTCAAAACAGGGACACGCAATCTCAAAATATTAAAAAAAAAATTACCTCGGGCAGGTGGAATTACGAGATGGTAAGAAACATATGTTTAAATGTAGTTTATCGTTTATAATCTGCTCTCATTTAACTGAGAAGCTGGCTGACATAAATATTATAAACTTTCGCCATTCCGATAAATTATCATCATCATCATTAATTGTGCATGTTTTATACCCAACGTACATGAGATCAAAGGTGAAAGATAGTTTTCAGAATTAATTACATGCTTATCACAGGAGAACGTTTTTGTCAAGCAATCTCCTTTATTCGCAGACGTCTTTGTCTATCTAACAAATAATCAGTTCGTAAAATAAGAAATATTTCAATGAACCGAATATGAGAGAAATTTATAAAGAGAAGGTTTTTGGGGCCGTTATGTTTTAATAAATTATTGACAACTTAAGTGTTTTCTCTCATGAAGGGGTCTGTTATCTTTTAAACATCGTCCTGTGATTGGAAGCTTTCAGTTGTTTTGGTTTTCAAATCCAACAATACGATTGTTATGTTTTTCTGTTTAGCTGAGACTTCAGTGGGATGCAACAAAGGAATTCCGTTGTGTAGAAACGTTTTTGGATGCGAGTGTTTTTTCAAAGTGTGGAGTCTAGTTTAAAGTTTAACAGGAAGTCGTAACTACACTTGAGAGTAAGTAAAATTGCTTTTGTATTCTGTTTTAAGATGTGTAGTTCCCTTTTAACGAAATCAAGGTGATAACATTCACTGGAAATTCCGTCTAACATTGTTTATATCTTATACTTTTTCGATAATATAGTAATATAATCAAGAACCACATTTACCTCATTCTTTCAATGTACGAGGAATATCATTCTGGGAAGAAGCTGCTGACATTTCGTACGATAAGTGAGAAATCATTCTAAAGCATTCCAGATGACTGGACTAATGGTGTTCGAGAATAGTCTCCATTTCGCAGAATCACAAGGAATGGGTAATACGTAGTCATAATAGTGGCAAAACTTGGCGAAACGAAAGTCTGAGGGGACTCAAGAAAATTGTTGTTGGTAAACAAGGCCCAGATGATAAAGTCAAAAGCTGAAATGTAATTGGTTCAGTCAAGTTATTGTCTGAGTTACACATTACTGGTGTTAAGAAAACATATTTCTATCAAGATTCAAAAAAGATATTTTCAAAGGCACTTGTTAATCAAATTTTAACTTAGCCTGAAAACTTTGCACTCACGCGCGGATAAGGGGAAAGAGTTGAAATTACCATTATGTTAAAAAAAATTGGATTAGGAATATCTAATTGTGCAAAATATGTTAGGTTTTTCTCCTTAAAAACCTTCCATTATTTATAGTTTGTTCTAGAACATAATTTTCCTTGTTTAGAGACCTTTTCTGTCCAAAGATTCTAAATAAACCGCAGTCGTACCGTGCTGCTAATGAAAACTTTGACACTTAGATTAACTCGGTAAAACAAATCACAACTTTTCAATGATATTTTGATCTAGTTCTTTTTCAAAGATTTGAAGAGTATGGTTAGCAGGATTAAAAACTAACAAGTGCCATATCAGTAATGGGTTGGAACGAAGCCAAGCAAGAATGTCTCCCAAATGAATGATATGTTGTAAAAATACATTTTGCTTTGATTATTGCAATCAGTTGTAATCCCGTTAATTCTTCGGATTGTGGTTAATTGTGTTCGAACTTCAATTACTCCATATTAACCCACAGTGGACTTTTTGAATTTTTCATGGCTGAGGACGACCAAAATTGATTTTTTCTTATTATTTAAACGACGTCTGACAGTTACAACTACAAGAAGATTTCAGATAAGCTGAAAGCTAAAGAGGTCTCACTTTTATCTGATTTTTACCACTTCAAACTTTCTGCTTTCAACTGAGATCGAGACTAGTGTAAACCGAGACAATTAAAAATAACTGTTGTTTATGACTTCAGTATTAGTTAACCCAAATGCGAGTGCTTTCAGATAGGACTGCTTCAAGGTGTTTGCGTAATTAACTCAGTAAATTTTCATTGTTTATTTTCATTGGCCCAAGGCTGCCTGTAATCCTTATTAAAGCAGTTGACCTTCCTTGATTATTGATAAACCAGCGAGTGGCAACCATAACCGTGTTAGTGGTATAACCAGATGGCAACGCTACGATAAAAATCACTTTTCTCATGCTTGCTGGCAAAAACGGCGGGCTTTTAAACTTTCAACCTGTCCCTTCTTCTTTATAGCTGTAACTTCCAATGTGTTCGGTTTACATCTAGTAACGAAAGTTACATTTCTGCTCCACATTTTAGAATTTTAAAATGCATGTCAGGACGGCTTTGGTAGTCCTTTTCACTGTCACTCTCTCACTGGCTTACAAAGAAGGTGATAACGAAATGTAAGTATTGTCATCTTTTCACACGTTTCTTTTTCTACTGATATTCAGGATCTTGACAAGGACGCAGTACGTAACATGCCAGATAACAAAAAACTTAAAATGCACTTAAACCAGAGCTAAAATCCTTCTCGGGGGCTGAGAAACAGAAAATCATCTTTGATTATAGGAGGCAGCGTGGCCGACTGGTTAGGGCGTCGGACTTGAAATTCGGAAGTCGCGGGTTTAAGTCCCGCTCTGACCATTAAGTTGGAGTTGTTTCTCGGTAGACCATAGTTCAACTCCTCGGTCACGCTTGTAAATAGTCAAATGGTCTGCCTCCCACCAGTTGGGATTTTTAAGCCTATTATGTTTAGTTGATATATTTGTTTCTTTCAGTTTAAGTGGCATGCCTGTGAACTAGCTAGGTGTAGCTAAGCGCATTGACCACTATAACAACAACATTTGAACATTTTTTTTGAACATTCCAAACGAATCAAATGTGAATACAACTATAAATATTGGTTTCACGTCCTCGCAAAGCTTTGTTTGAAATACCAGTGTTTTTTTTTTGTGTCCCCAATTAGTTGTGAAAACTAAATAAATTGACACATTAATAAAGCTTTTACTTTACTTACTTTACTGTATTGATAGTGAAAACTGCACGCAAGATCAGAATTGGTTTATTGGCTGTGGTACGTTTCCGAGGATAAATTAACTTCTTTGGCTTGCACTTTCGTAGCCTACATCATTGAAGGGCTTCGGTCCAATTATAATTCATGACATATTCTTGATGTTTACCAATAACAGTCAGCCTGAATGCTGCAGTTTACGTTTTGAGTTCTATTTGAAACAAAAAAAAAATGTTTTGGGGGATGATAATAATTGCTTCTTTTATTAGATCTTCGAGAGCGTCTTGTCTCAATGGGTAACATAAAAGTTTCTACCGTAAAAAGATATGAGGACTACAAAGTGAACTAGACTACTACGTATTATATTTGTTACGTAGGGAGATGTACAAGAAATCAATGGAGGAAGCATATAATTTATCTGTGGCGATCAACAACAATTTGAGGAATTATGACACAAAGTTGAGACCAAACGCTGGAGGTGAGTTCTGTGACCGTTATTAATCTCACTACTCTGTCTTTTGACATTTATTTGCTCGTTCGCTTTTATTACTTTTAAAAAAACATGTCTTGGCAGACATAATGCCTGGCTAGCATGTTAGCCGGCTACTAGCAATGTCGTGCATTTATGGAAGAGGAGATTGTTTGCTGACGTCATTGTTTACATTTTTCCTCATTGACATACGACTTTACGCAGAGAAGGCATCACGCTAGACACGAATTACAAACTACAAACATTTTTAAAAAGAGCTTGGAGAACTTAGTAATTGGTGAAATTTTTGGCTCTTTGGGTGTAATATTCGAGGAGAAATTGGCTGCAAAGTTCTGGGTGGCAAAAGCCCTTGTGAACTAATACATTCTTTGTAAAATGTTGAGTTTTTAAACCCGCGTCGCACAAAATGTTTTCGATACATTGGCCTTAAATTCCTTGGGATCGTTTTGATCGTTCTGTTCCCTTTCTAACGTTTTTGTAGCTCCATTAGAAACTGTATCGCCAATGCTAATGAGGCAAATATTATAAAAAAAAATTATCCTTAAGACAAACCAAAGGTTAAGTTACATTTCCAACTTTTGCCTTGTTTAGGGTTATAAATCTGGTTATACAAACGGGGAGTAGGGATGGCGTGGTGCTCGCCTTCCACAGCGTGGCCGGGTTCTACTCCATCTTGATGATATAATTGTGTTGATTTTGTTCTTTGCTCTTGCCTTGCTCCGACGGTTGGGTACTCCTAATAAAAGACCGGTATTTTCAAATTTCAAATTGATCCGGATAGAGATACCACATTAAGACCATCTAGGACTGATATAGCTTCCTCTCTGAATATTGTAAGTTTTTTTTGTATAACGGGATAATTATATTATTTGTTTTCCAGGCGAGCCAGTCATAGTGCAAGTTGAGTTTAAAGTTATTTCATTTGGTGAGATAAAAGAAGTTAATATGGTAAGATGCTTTTGACGGTTAGCAGTTGTGTACTCTTGAACATTTTTCAAAATCAGGTTTGAATTGTGAAGGTGAATTAATCAACATGACACGAGCGTGGGACAAAGAAAAATTCTGAGTCCCCGACAGGAATCGAACCCATGACCTCCCGNTTGTGAAGGTGAATTAATCAACATGACACGAGCGTGGGACAAAGAAAAATTCTGAGTCCCCGACAGGAATCGAACCCATGACCTCCCGAACACTGGGCTATCAGGTTTGAATTATTTAACAAATATATATTTAAAATGTCAGAGCACTTTGAAATGCTCCATTCTGAAATGACTATGCTAAACGTTATGCTGACTTTCAGGAGTACAGCATGGACATATTCTTCCGCCAGTGGTGGAGAGACCCGAGGATGAGGCATAACTATTCTACTCCATTCAACATAGCGTTTGACCCGACCAACCTTTTATGGACGCCAGATACTTATTTCTGGAATGTCAAGAATGCAAAGTATCATCACGTGACCAGGGAAAACATGCGGCTGAGAATCTCATCGGATGGAGAGATTTACTTCAGTACAAGGTAAACTCACTACCAACTCACACTGAAACGGCACCCTTTTCCGGATTCTCAGAAGACAGCTAATTTACCTTTAAGCCTGGTCTACACGAGCAATGTTTATGTGACAATTCTTATTTGCTCCTGTAAACGAGGAAAATTCGCCAATTGTTATGTGATGAATATATTTGCTGAAAAGCTGGCCTGTTAGCTTTTATGTGGCAGGTGGCTCCCTGTTTGGCAAAATGACATCAGGAATGAAGGAAAGAAACAGCAATACCACGAAGTGAGATCAAAAGTCCAGCGTCAGGTACGTGAGACGAAGAACAATTGTTGGGAGCAGGAGGCACAAAAGATCCAATCCCTATCCGACAGCATCCACAGTGGTGCGGAGCACAGTGAGTAACCGAGGAAAGAACACCGCGAGAGACTCCGGTCAGAGAGAAAAGAGTGGCAACAGGATGGCGGCATAGCTTTAATCTCATCTGTCTACGAATCTGCCGTTGGAGATTTGGCCTGCTCAGTCATCAACGAACTCATAAATTGAACACCATCAAGTAGACATTGTACTCGATATCGAGCGATTGCTTACTACTACTAAAAGTTGCCACATACGAAAACTGCCTCGTAGATGACTCGTCACATATAATGTGGCAAATATGTTCGTAAGCGCCATATTTTTTTGGACCTAACCCATTTTCCGCTGTCCAAAGTCATTACTGGCGCATCTACACGATCAAATATATTTGTCACGTAAAAATTGTTTGATAACAGTTATCGTGTACAACAGGCTTTATAGCCGAACGTTCCCCTTGCCCGCCGACACAGCACAACACATGGTTGCTTTAGAAACTTTATGCATTGTTGCAATCTTAGATACGATGAATAGGCCACGTTCGATATATCAATATTCTAACAGGGCTCCGAGGTTTTCGGGTCAAAATTGTAAATTTTTTAAGTTTCTTTTGTCTTTCAATTCCCAAAAGAGACTTGGATACAAAGAAGACAACACCAAATATAGAAGTTTGTCCTGAAAGCCTCGGAACCATGTTAGAATATTGATATATCGAACGTAGCCTATTGCGTCATCGTCTATTTGCTCTAACTAGAAGCTATCGGGCGAGACTTAACTATGAGACACTCCTCATTTCCTATGATTTATAACCAGGGAGTAATAATCAAGTAAAAATGGCGGAGTTCAGCTGTTTAAAGTTAGCGTTAGAGGGGTATGCTTTGAAACTCCCTTGCACCAGGTGGTCGTTTAGAAAATCCACCTCTAGGAAGCATAACCCATACACAAAAACAATTTGATGTAGCTAAAATAACAGAGATTCCACCTCTCCTTCGGCTTGTTACGCTTTAATTTTCTTGGTACCTTCTATCAGGATAACAATTGTGGCTCAATGTGACATGGACCTACGCCTGTATCCAATGGACACTCAACACTGTGCTTTGAGAATCGAGAGCTGTGAGTATTGATTTTGAAAATTTTAGGAGTTTTCGTTATGGCCACCTTTATTATACTTCACATACCAGTCCCGAGAGGAGCAAGTAGCTTAATTTGTTTTCCTAACACCCGAATAGGAAACAAGGGGTTTGTTTATGTAGAAAAAATAAAATAAGACAGTTGAGCCTTTCAGCTTTTGAGGAGCTGCTTAACAAAAGATCGACAGGGGATCTCTGCTATTAAGTTAAGTGTTTCACCAACTAGCCAGAAGTTACTTTCAGCGCACTAAAGTACTAAGTTTCTGCTATACATTCAGATGCTCACACAGTGGCTGACGTGGACTATAAATGGAAAGGCGGCAAAGGTGTTGAAATTGTTTCTTCAGAAATGGCACAGTTTGATCTTCTCCGAGTGGTCACTGAAAACGAAGCGTCGACTAACAGTAAAGGTTGGAATATTGACAATGTCTGTGTCAATTTTTGTTAGCGTTTGTCCTGATGTAGGCTCAGCTCTCCCGGTAATTTCATGATGATTCATAAGTTCATAAGCTTTGTATCTCGGGAAATGAAATTAACATAAGATTTAAAAGCCTTTGAACACTTCTGTGGACGAAGTGACAAAGTCCCGGAAGTGCCGCCAACCGGCATAATTCCGCAAAAGTTGATGAAAGCGTTTAAATATTATGTGAATTTCTTTTGCCGAGATATAAAGCTTAAAACATATAAATCATCAACATTTCTCTTTTACCTTTTTACAGTGATGCTTAGTTGTTTGTAAAATAACTTGAAGGTTGTGTAATTTTCGAGAGGCGTTTGTTGCTGAGGGAAACAGTTAAAGAATTATGCGATCTATTGTTACTTGAATCACAAATGATTATCCGAGCGGACGCTTGGTTTTCGTGTATAGGCACCAAAAGTTTAGGATCAGCTGCTGGCCTTTTATGCTAAAACAATTGAACTGCTCGCTGACGGTTTCGATCGGCTTCGGTAATTGACCCGAGGCTGGGCCACAAGACAACCATCAGGTATCAGATATAACAGATATGGCGTACAATTTTCTAAGTACTTTTCTCGCTTTCAGGTGTTGACTATCTATCTCTCAAAAGAAATTTTCAAATATCGCAATACGTTCATTATATCCTTTTTAATAAACCTGTATAAGATGTATTTTGGATTCCGAATCATAAAGAAATTACTCCACCGTATGGTGTTAATCAGTATAGCCCATTCTTGATTCGTTCCAGCCTCATATTCTTCTACTTTATAAACTCAAGGCTAAGTAGAAGTAATGGAAGATGATAATTTAAAGTATTTTATCTTATGTCATTGCCTTTAAGGTTCATTTGCCAAACTGAAGGCGGTGTTTTCATTCAGACGTCGGCTCGACTACTACATTTCAGCGGTGTACGTACCGGAAGTGATCCTGGTGGTGTTGTCATGGTGTACGTTTTTCATCACTCCCAGTGCTGTCCCCGCAAGAATATCACTCAGTATAACAACCATTCTTACTACCATCCTGCTTTCCAGCAGCCTAAACTCCAATATTCCCAAGGTACGTAAGCAGTGCATGCCTCTTGATGCTTGATGGCCAAGTAACAGCAATTTGTTTCCTGTCTATAATAGTGCTTCTTTCTTTAATAGCTTCCTCTCTTGCTACCTCTCAATCAGAAAGCAGCTCAGTTAAGCACTGGCCAATAGTTAAATCCAAACTAATTATCTTGGTTGACTGAGAGCAGTTATTGGAGAATGTCGCTATAAATTACCACATCGTTACTGTTAATATTTTGTTTCTCAGTTAGCCTTTTGATGGATTGATGTCCATGTTCAGCACTCATATGAGGTCGTTTCCTATAAGTTTCAGAATGCTGTTGAGGTAGCTATATTAGCAGTAGTAGGTCCGTTAGTGTGGACTTCTTTGGGTCAGGGACAAACTTGGCTTTTTCTTCCGGTTTTTTGTGTCGTGAATTCATAATTCATGTAAATAAAGTGATTGTTGTTACTATTATATTCCTCCTTTTAGGTCAGCTATATGAAAGCTGTAGACTACTTTATGTTAACGTCATTTGGCTTCATCTTCGCTGCTCTGATTGAATACATTATCGTTCTTAATACTCCTAATGTACTCGTGGATAGTTTCTACTGCGGGAAGAAAAAGCAAAAGAATGAGCCCGTTCAAGCCCAGGTAAATAATACAAACCAGCCAATCACTGACTGGTTTTCAAGATTTACACTTCAATCCGATTACGTGGCCAGTAAAAAGTTGGTATTGCTGTATGTGGGTCAGCACATTTAATCTTGCCCTCGTGATTATGAGTTTTTTCGTCTTTGTTTGGTCACCGAGACGAACAACGTTCTAGTCATGTTGGTTTGTATTAGTAGATTTGACATTCAACATAATACCATGGAATTTTACTGGAAACTATATTTTCTTCGCTTTCTTGATATTTCTTTTGCAGGATGGCGCAGAGGAACTTATTCTGAAGATCAGCGCTTCCCCAAGGAAATTAGATCTGACCAAGCCCAGCAAACAAGCCGAGAGGCAACCAAGCAATTCCAAGGACCACTGGGTTGACAAAAGCTCCCGTGTGCTCTTTCCAACTCTATACGCCCTCTTCCTTCTGGCGTACGTCGTGCATTACAAGAGCAAGGACTAATAGGCAGCAGTTTTGATTCCTTGTCGAAATAGTGGGCCCTTTCCATTTGACCAAAAGTTCCGGCGCGAATTTCCAGAAATTTCCAACATCTAGAATTTCCTGAAAAGAGGACAACCTCACGAGGTATACGCAAATCTTCGAAAATTTGTTACCGGAATCTCCTCATTTAACTTTCCCCCCGTAGTTTTCGGTTGAACGGCTCGCATTCCGGAAATTCAATTCGGATTTTCGAGATAGTTTACCAGGGAAATTTCCGTCCAATTTGCCCTCGTTTCAAAACTTCTGGAATTTTTAATTGAATGTAAAGCGCCCTCTGTTCACTGTCTTTTTCCTAATTATTTTTGCTGTCTATTTCGTCGACTGCATCGAAAATCATATTTAGCCAGGCAACTACGTTTTTTCCTGCTAACTTCATTGGAGTAAATGAATATTCAGTGAAATGGTTAGTTAATTGAAATATTTCAAAATTTCCAAAATATGTATATTTGAATATTAGCAGGACGCGCCTTTGTTTTTGGTAGTTTATTGCAATCAGATGTGCATGGGCCAGCTGACATACAACAATAGACAATTTTCCTATTCTCGGTATTGAACTGGAACAAGCTTGCAAATGAGGCTAATGCGTGGAGTCTTTTTAAATGAATATGAAATACATCTCTTTAATGATAATACATCTCTTTTAATGATATTCTCCCACACTAGCCTCCATGCATTGTAAACTAGTTCCGATCCAATACCGAGAATACGAAAATGGTCTATTGACTCTGGATCAAAAATATGACAAAGTGAAAAGCTGCAGGTTTCGTAAATGTAGTTGTAAATTCAATATAATTCTATGTATGTAATCATTATGTATTATTTACTATAATGCTATGGATAAAAATTCAATCAATTTATAATTGGTTAATTAATCTAGATAATCGTGCGCTAACTGCTGCTGTGCAAATCCCCTTTACGTTATTATATGTGCATGGCTATACAAGGGCTAATAATATCCTGGTTATTTGCAGGTATCCATGATATCAATACTGAGACGAATGTTCTCAGTTTCCTCTGCTTTTTTCTAAGTTTCATATCAGTTTGTGCAGAAGTGGAAACCGGGGACCTTTGTTAACTCATCCTGTCTATCGTGACGTAATTTCATTTCGAGAAGCTGATATAACAACAATCTTAATTGAGAATATAAGTGACAACAAAGTCACTGAACGGTTGTGGTAGCAGTGACTAAGCTCCAGTTTCTTTGCATTGAGAAACGTGCGTGGAATTTCACCTTCGCAGTTATAAAGTAGCGGGGCATTTGATAAGAAAGCCGCGAGGATGGTGAGACTACTGGCAAAAGCTCATTAAACTGGCTATTATGTTTCATAGATGTTGCACAGCGGTCTTAAATCTCTTTTAGATCCATAAGCTACAGCTGTAACCATAGCTACAACAATGTTTTGAGGTTAGGTGTATTGAGTGAGTCGTTTATGATTGTTTTGAAGTTTGAACAGCCACAGACTCTCCACAGTCATTAAAAGATAACAGATAATGGTCATATAATCTGCAGAGTATAATTGAGAGAGATTTATTTCAGCAGTCCTACTCCAAAGGATATTGTACAGTATTTACAATACGTAACTTGCCGTTAAATGACCTCATCCTCGTAGTTATAAGCTTTAACTAAGTTTTGAGCAGAATGAAACTGACCTTTTGCAAAAGTGAAATAAATAGAGGATGTGAGGAAAGACAAAGAAACTATCGCCTTAGCGGCATTATATACTCAGAATATATAATAATTATCCTGTAAACAGGGTAAATGCATATTATTATTAGGTCATTAACTTTGTACATATTTCCAAATCGCTACAAAAGTTTAGCTAAGTAGTTTAGGTCACAGAATTATAATCTTTAGAATTATGGCGCGCTTTCATTTTTGCCTGACAATATCCACTGTACCGGTTTGTTTTAGTTGATTTCCATAATCTTTTAGCTTAACGTTTATCATAAACTAGATACCGATACTAATTCGATATGACGAATCAACCTTATTCTATTGCGCACTTTATAAGATGGCTTATCAGCTCAAGGCGAGGATTGTTTTACCATTTGCAGTCCACGGTTCTAACCTGTTAAGCCATCGAATAATGAAAATATAATTCGTCTGTCGTCGATCCTTGGTAATTAAAAATGCTAATCTTAAAACTGAAATTTAATGAAAATGTATTTAATTTACTTGAGCCTTAAATCTGTCGGGATACTACGGTGCCAAAGGACGGTTGTACTGGGCTGGGACATTGTGAGATTTCGTTTCATCTTATATATTATCATACTGTAAAATGACCAGTAGGCCAAAGAGTAACAACAAAAAGCAAAAATGCATTCCTGTTGCTACTGTCTGAATAAAGTCACATTAATCTTGACCTTAAGTTAAATTACTTTTCTTTTACTTAGCACAATTTGGCCCTCAAAACTTATCAAACTGTTTTTGTTCCAGTTATTCTACTGGTTTTCATATAAGCGTTGGCAGTTTTCTTCTGTCAACTTATGTTCAGTTCGAAACTAAATAGTGTTATTAATGTGTTTGTAGACAGAGGAATGCTACTGATAGCTTTGTTTTTTTTTTTAATTCTTAAGTCAGGCATTCATCGAAAAATTATGCGAAGCCTTTAATTCAGTTAGCTGCTACCTCTCTGGAGGTATTTTATTTACCCGTGTGAATATTTACTGTCATCTTCGGGGTAAGGTTTTTTAAAATGATTCTAAGACTATTTCAAATTTATCTCTGTTGATAATTGCCAATTAACAAACCAAAACCAGTAATTTCCATTCAAATTGTCTTGTCTTTCTTCAGATAAATTGTTTATTCCACCACATCTTTGTTTCCTTCGTTTTCTTCCCTAAGCACACCGTAATATATGGTGTAGGAAACAAGGAATGTGACATACAAAGTAGGGAAGACAAATCTTGACAATCGGTCGATCCAGTGTGCCTTGGGTTTAACTCCTTCTTGAGGTGTTGTAGGAAGTTGTTGTTTGGGTTGAGGTTTCAGCTTAATATTTCCTTTGTTGTTCCTGATTCTACACACTCCTTCATCCATTACTTGCACGATAAGATCAACACTGCCTCTGCTATGGGCCTGAAAAGGGAAGAAATAAAAACATAGAAGTACTGTTTTAAGAAGGTTCTCATAGAGGATTCTGAAAATTATTAACCGTTACCAACAGTCTCCAAACAGTGATCAAAAATTTAACTTATAAATGCATTGTCAGGCAGAGCCGTAAGGAGAATATAGGAAATCATCAGTTAGCTAGAGGGGAATGTCTTGATGTATCTAAAATGAGGATAAAGATATGTGAGCCAGTGACGAAAACAGACTTTTAAAGTTTGTTACTGATTTCATGGTTCATGCACTTACCTCGCATTCCATCGCGATTTCCTTTTTGCCATCCGCCTTTTTACCCCTTTTGAACCAGGAAGGCGCTGAGAATACTGGATTGGTGTTGAGCACGATGATAAACTCGATCAACGCGGCGAAAATGAAACCAAACGACGTCAGCAAGAAGTAGTCAACCGCCTTCATGTAACTGACCTTGGGCATGTCCCTGTTAACGTTCCCCTTGAGCAAAATTGATGTTAAGATGGTGGTGATGCTGAGGGCCACTCTGGCCGGGACAGCAGAAGGTGATATAAAGAAGCAGCACCAAGACAGGACAACCAGCACTATGGCGGGAACAAAGATGGAAGACACAAAGCTCTCTGTGCGTCTTCGAAACGAAAACACCGCTGTGAGACTTGCAAAGGAACCTTTTGAGAAAAAGAGAAAAAAATTTAATGGAGAAACTTACTAAGGTAAGTCATCTCTAGACTGCATCCGAGCTTTGCTGTATTAGAGGCGATGTGTGTTTCTGATAGGCTAATCCACTAATGAGCACGCTTCAAAGGAAATATTGAATGTCAAGACTGAAGCCTCAATTGCAAATTAACAAAAAATATGAGCATACTTAAAAGTCTCCGCTATGTGTACGTGTATTCATAACGTTAAGGGAGGATTACCATTTAATTTACCAACCCAAAATTCAGAGAACATGAATTACACTGCATGCTTATTGGTTGACCTTGGTTACCTTCATTTGTCCATCCAGGTGCTGTCTTAAACGTTCATCAATCGAAAATATGGTATAGACCATAATCCACGGCTGGTTGTTAAGTTTCATCCGTTTAAGAAATCAGGAAAAGACAATTTTAAGAATATTCAGCTACAAAGTATGCTTATGGACGGCACCATATAATGATTAGAAAAGGTGTTTTTTTATGCACGTATTCTAGCAAACATTCTGTTGTACCATTAGTGTGTCACGGTTCCTCTCCTAGCCGGAAACTGCTTCTCTTTTATTATTAGATTTTCTATTCCGTTCTATTTGTCACCTTTACTGTTGGTCTGCGATTTAGTGCGGGTCTTAACTCCAGTCAGATCAAACTGAGCCATTTCAGCGGACACTATTTCTATGCCCTGATCATCTCCTCCCTTCCAACGGTAATCTACATCTGCTGTCGTGTACGCATCTACCATCAAACAGAAACAAATGGTGTGAGTCTAAGGCTGTCTGATAGTTTTTCAAGACAAAACGTTGTATTTCTAGTTTAATATTCTTGTTCTCAAAGCCATGCAAACTTTTTCAGTAATATTTTCTTGTTCTTGTTTTCTGACCAAACAAACAATTTACAAAAGGACACAGCTCCGTAACAGTTTGTTTGGTTTTATTTTGAAGTATAAGATATGCAAAATGATTTATATTCGTAACATATAAAAGGATATACCAGGAGCACCAGAGTAGGGAAGCATTTGTTCTTTAGAGGTATGATATTTTTAGAACGGATTAAGAGCTTATTAGTTGGCTTGATTGTTGTTGTTATGTTGTCTTACATCTGTTTATCAACGAAACTCTAATAAGATAATGCATAAAGAACTCGCTATTTTATGTGATAATGGTGCTCGTTATTTCACGGTTGTTGAGGTAAGGAAGATGTAGACATCCTATTTCTAAGCATGGCCATGTTAACAGTCAACATGCTCAGTTCCTCTGTGGCAAATACATACAGCTTTCTATAATAAGGGGACAATACTGTGTGTCCATTGGGTAGAGACGCAAATCCATATCACACTGGGCTGTTAAAGTAATTCTGAAAGATACAGAAAGGCCCGAGAATTGCTATTATTTAGCGTGCAATTAAAATGTCCGATAAAGCACAAATAACATAAATTGTGAACAAAGAGGTCACTGCCTTAGTTTGTTATCAGTAGATTTCAACCCAGTTCTCTCGTATGTTTAATTGTTTATTTCTCCAGGTTGTTGTCGCAATTGTGACTGACGGTGGCCTAAAAGTCAGTCCCTGCCGGTTAGGTTTCGCGTGTCATTTAGTGCAATGTAAAATTCACACAATTCGTTCGCAGTGGCCAAACTTTGTTTCACCTTATAAAGTAAGTAAAGCCCTGTCTCTGGGGCTTTGGAGTTTTCGATACAAGAAGGATCGCTGACTATGCTAAGATAATTGTGAAACTGATTTGCTGACATTTGTCTGTACTGATAGTAATGAAGTTTTTTTTTATCATTTTACCTTGTGCTGTAATAAACCTCTCCGGCAGGAGATATTTTCACTCTCATATTCTCCCTGGTCACGTGATGGTATTTGGCATCCTTCACATTCCAGAAGTATGTATCTGGAGTCCAGAACAGTTTAGTTGGATCGGCGGCCATGTTGAATGGTTTGCTGTAGTTGTTCTTAAACCTTGGATCGTGCCACCATTGCCGCATGAATATGTCCATCGAATATTCCTTTAACACAACGAGCGTTTACCTAAATTTCTAATCCAGACTCAAAAGTTGATTTTAATGTTACTGTATCACTACATTTTCAATTGAAATATGAAAAGACGGGAGTTTGAGAAACCAATCTTTGTCGCTGAGATGAAAAGACGACCAGTCATTTAGTAGATCTGTCGTGAGGATTAAGTTATTAAAAAGATGTATCTATTCAGTTTTCCTGAAGTCAGGACTTCCAAAATTGACCAGTGTTATGAAGGGATGCTGGAAAACGTAATGTTATGAAAACGCTTTTCGATCAGTGCACAATGAGAAGAAAGCATGAGAATAGATATACTTTTTTATAATATGCAGGTGCTTATTTAAAATCAAACCTTGGAAGATTAAAAATAGGCTATTTTAATGGATAAATTTTAATAAAATAATTAATGTTTTAGCCGATCATTATTCCATACTCTGTTTATGGGACAGCAGAAAGCTCAAGTAATATGGAATATTCGACCAAGTTCCCTTAGACGTTCAGTGCTGTGATCTGCGATTTTGAATTGTACGCTTTGGAAGTGTGCACTTTATGATTCCAGTAAAATATGCTACTGAAACTGAGATAAACGTAGCTGTATGGTCTCTAATGGCGTACCATATTAGCCTCCTTGATTTCTCCAAAGGAGATGACTTTAAATTCTATTTTCACTATGACTGGCGGTCCACCTGCGTTTGGTCTGACTTTCCTGTCATAACCTGTTAGACTCCGGTTTATCGCCCGTGACAGGTTGTAAGCTTCAATCATGCTTTTTCTCATATCGTCAGGAGCACTGAAATTGTAATGGAGAATTATCAAGTCTTAATAAACAGATTATGTTAACGATATATTTTACAAATTGCTTTGATACTGGCAACGCTCTTGAATCACTTTTTCTTAAAGACTCCTCAGTTAATCCCAGGTTTCGAAGTTGCAGTGTTAAAAGAATTTTAGATCGAGGATTTGTGTTCGAAATAACGTACCTAAGTTACAGTTGTCGGCGATTGAATAAATCCAACGTTCTGACCTTGTAATTGGAGAGGGATAGATTGCGAAATTTTGGTTTCAGCGAAAGTTAAACAATTAAATTATCATATTTACCCACAATACGTTTCTAGTTTTTTTGCTGTTGCTCGATTTCTATCTAACTAACGAACAATTTTTTGTCCAGTGTCCAGTAAGTACATGTAGGTAACGATATCTCGCGAAGATTTGTGAAACATAACTCTCGTAAATTAGTGCACTCTGCGCAATGAAACAATGTGTAAAAACTAAAGTGAAATTAGTACTTGAATATTTGAGATTTTCGAATTGAGTTTGCTGGCTCGTCCTAAGAACACTCCGCTCCTTCTTAATGGCCACAAAGAAGGTAATGTGGCTTCACAAATTCGTTGACAGAACACACGAGAAAACAGGTTTCTTTAACTTTAACAATTCAATAACATTGTTGTAATTACGATATATTTTTTTAACTTACCCCTCAGTAAACCCACAGGCAATAAGACTAAGGAATGCCACTATAGCTGCTGCTATTGGAAGGTAAAACTTCATAATCCAGGTGATGTAACTACAAGTACAAGAGTGAATTAGGAAAGGAAAGCTTGCACAATATACTACTAGGTTTCATTTGCTAATGAAATCGCTTACGGACATTTAATGCCTGAATTGGTTTCGTATAATAGTATATCAAGTGAAAGAAACCTGTTGTCAGAATTTGTCATGTATTCTGAGCTCCCTTCCGAGACGAGGGAAGACTCTATTTTGTCAAGACTGCGGTATCCACGAAATTTTACTGTCGCAAAGTCACGCCAACGGCACTTTTGTACGTAAAGCAATTTCTTACAAATGCAGATACTTAAAATATTCTTTTTAGGGATAATTAATTGAATAATCAGTTGTAACTGTTATACTTACTTGATTGCGACGGAGGAATTGGTGAAGAATCAGAATGAAATAAAAATAAGTATCTTTTGCCACCTCCAGTTGCCACAATTTGAATATGTATTAACATAAACAATTTTTTTTTAGATTTAACCGTATAAACCACAATTGCAAATCCCGAATCTCCCGGAGATTAGTTTACAAATATCTGTATTTGTCTTGGCACAATCACCGGCTAAAAACCTGCAGTACTGTAGTGGTTTCTTTGAGGAATTCAAATAGGATCACATTATATTTTCATTAACACTTCTAAAGAGAAATTTTCTGCGCGTTCGTAAAGAACGCATGGGCTTTTATCTGTGTTTGGCGGATGGACTTGTAAACACAAGATTTTTTATGATTTTGTTATCTCTGCTTTGACCACCGCAATATTTGATGAGATGGGAAACACAGCAGTTATTTTAGATGCGGTTAAGCGGGATATCAGTTATCAGTAATTAGCCCAAGTGTTTGCTATATAAATGTTAATAACTCAACCTTTTCAACATATTTGTACCGCAAATAGAATCCATTTTGACAAAAAATAATCTTAAATCATTCCTCAACTCCATAGGAAAATATGTTAATAACCAATCTATAGTTTATCTCATCTGGTATTGAAATTATTTTGAGCTGTAGGAATGGAAATGGAAACCAAATTTCTATTCAGTAGAGTCTGCAACTACAACGCAACCTGTTACGGTTATCCGGAATTTTATTAAACGACTAGGTTATTTTGTGATTAGCACAGATTTAAACTGTGGTGCAGACGTTCCTTGGAACAATTACGTTAAAAGAGTCTGATCCAAATATCTGAGCGATATTTCAAGACCTGTTTAAGACCAGCTTGCCAGATATCTAGAATAACACGCACGCTCTTTTCGATCGTTCACTTCTTCCATTTCTGTAACTGTTTTGATGATCATTAAAACCGATAACAACCCTTTTGCTCAGAGTGCTGCCTAATGGAACTTTAGATGACTTACATTGTGATCAAGATTCGAAATGTTTCAATTAAATCTAAAGTAAATTTTGTTCTGCGACAAACCTCCCGCAAGGCACACAACGCTTGGTTGAATTGTTTACCTTTATATATTTTGAAACCGTTTTAAGAACATTGAAGTTTTAACTCTGATTGACTGTATTTAATTAGATAGTGCTGTCTCTAAATCGCATTAAACTTACCTCGAAAAATATTTATACGATATGAATTACGGATATAAATTTAAAAGGGAGTGTTTTTCATTTATGCAAATCACGGTTACTTTCGAGTCCGTTCGGGTAAGAAAATCGATTGAAAACGAGACAAAACTCAAACGCATTTTAAATCGACAAAGTTATCGCCAAAAATAATTTGTAACATTTTATTGGATATCGTGGAAGACTTGGTTACTAAAATATACATATGTCTATTTCATGAGATAAATATTTTTTCCATCCTCGATCCCCAACTGCGTTAAAAATTTCGTATAATTAAGTTTAAGATGTGAAGGCACGAATATTTTTGATCTGTTGTCAGTCAAAAACGTTATAGGTGTGACAAAGAAATGTCAGAGTACTGTATATCTCTAATATCTCAAATAGCTGCCTTCTTCATTTTCTCGCTGGTGCAAAAAAATAAGAAACGTGCAGATAAATTGCCAGGTAAAAACCATCTTTCTAGACGTCGACGGCTTTGGCATCAGCTTTGTTCATAGTACATGTTTTATGTGCCTCCTGTTTTCATGCTGTGGCAGAAACACACGGATGTTACGTTTCTGTGCCAAGCTAGTTTCATAAACATGAGGAATATTTCGGTTGCAGATGTTAAGTTAAAGAGATACTAAGCACGTCCCTAAATATTTCAAAATTGATTTGGTTTTCCATAACTGTCTAAGTTTCTCGTTCTTCTCTTATTTTGTAGCTTAAATTCACGACTAAGACTTGGAATAAATGCTTGATTTACGCCGCAGTTAATAATGCCGCCTCGTAGTCTCATTATCAAGGAAGATTCCCAAGGCAAATGACGCTCATTTACACCACAGATATCGCTTATTTCTAAGCAAAGAAAGCTTTGCCTAAAGTCTTAGTGATTGTATTGATCGCCGCTGAGAAGACAACACCATCAGCTTATCACAAATAGCGAAATTCCACATCATTCTATCAATTGAAATTCTATACCAGTTCGCTGGAAAACATTTCAAAAATAAATTTATTGACACATCTGTTTAAGGATCGGATTTTTGTCAGAAGGAAACGGATTTGATTTTAACGAAAATCTCAATGTCTCAGACGTTATGTACACAAGGAATATCAAAGCCTGGAAATATTTAACTAAGATCATTGATGCAAATAAGAATTATTCATCAAGCGTTTACCTCATTTGTAGGCTTCTTTAGATTTATGGCAACAAAGTGTTTGATTTCAGTCCAGTTTTGTCCTTGTCTGTGTTCCAGAATAGTTCCAATCCAGGCGGATGTGAATGAATAATTTCATTTTTATCCGAATTACAGCGTGCAAAATCTGTTTGTTGATATATCATATAGAACACTAATAACGAACTGGAAGCATCGATAGCACCTTCTCGGCAAAGTAATAAATTATTTATGTCAAAACAATCGCAGACTCCAGCGACATGCTACAAACAGCTTTATCAGCTGCTTTCTAATATAACAGATTTAAATGAAACAAGAATTGTTGCTTCCAACTTGAACAAGATGAGACTATATATCTTATTGAAGTGATTTGCGCAATATATATATTTTTTAAAAATGGGCGTAATGTATTAGAAAAACAATTATAAAAATCACGAACACTTACTGGTTGTGTGAAATAAAGTATATGACAGTACAGTAAACCGATCTTTGCGTTGCACGGTTGTATGCTGCTAAAAAAAACTGTTTTCATTTTGGATACTTGAAGCGTATCGTCAGTTTTGCAAAACTAAATGTAACTCTGGCGTGGAGAATTCGTTTTTACGATTTAACAGACTCAAGAGCACCCCAGGCTCAGGTCCAACAGCTTTCTCACATTGCCGGTGCGAACGTTCTTACTATGTTACAACAAAAATGTCTTCGAATGGAAGTTACGAGCTCATATGAGTTTGGGTTCTCTCGCCTCAACATCTGAATAAAGACGAACATTTCTTCAACAGTAGTTCAAGAGGCATGTTAGGATGGGGTTTTTGTCTATGAGCGCGGCAACATCTCGAAAAGTAATATTTATGAGCGTAATTAGCTTGCTAGATCCCCCTCTAATCCTTCGCAGAGAACCAACAGCGAAAGAGCAATTTCATGTGTGAAGAATTTTTTGTTTTTCCATATTTCAATTTGCGGAGAGTAAAGATAAAATGCGATAGAACATGAGCAAAATAACATCAACAACAACAACAACAACAAATCCTAAACGTCTTTAGAGTTGTCTGAATAACGAATTGGACCGACATTCTTGTAATTTGCCAAAACAATCGTGGAAGGTATACCAACCTTCGAGGCATTATTGGATGAAGTTCCCCTTGTCCTCAGAATACAGGTGCATCGATTATTCTGTAGTTAACAAAACCTCATTAAACCACAAAATGAATCTAAGAGGCCCCCTTTTGAAACTGAAAAATGATATTCTTTTAATTCGTCTTTTGGAGTAAAAGAGTAGTTTAAAACGATCGAAGCAGAGTAAATCAACTGATATTGGAGCAAATTGATTTGTATAATATTTTTCATCGTTGCGGTTTATGATGGATGGTTGCAAATGCACAAAAAAACCAATAAAGAAATAACGATGAATAATAGTAGCAGCACAATCACAAATGTCAATATCATCATCAGATAATATCATCGGATAATAAGCAATTAAGGTGTAGAGCCCTTTTTAGGGCATATTTGTATTTGACAGCGTAGTTACGACAAGTGATGGATACCAATGAAATCAAATTTTCATAGTTGACGGGAAGATAGTTTGTAAAGACTGAAAAAATACGCAGAAGTAATGGAGGACTCTTCTCACTAAGACATTTTTTGTCCAGTCCTATCCTTTTTTTTCTAGTAGCATGCCAAAGTCGAGAACGATATGTTGCTCGGAAACCTCTTCGTCTTGTTATGTGTCAGCATGCTCGTCACCTGTTACGATGGCTTTTAAATGAAGTTTTCTAATATCGTTCTTCTAGATTTTTTCGACACGTACTTTCTTTCGTGAACAGCAAACCGCCAATTTAACTTTGATTCGTTGTTATTATGAAACTAGTTCATGCACTGAAAGATAAAAGTCAAACTAGAAAAACATGCGAGGGAGGTTTCTGAAATCAAATCAAAAATTTTAAACTTGGCATCCTAGATAGATAATTTATCTCAAGAAAGCACTAGAAAATAAATTGTTACTTCAGTAATCGTTTGAATAATAAAATTTGTTCTAGATAAGAAAATATTATCTCATAGAAGAAAAAGCACTTTTCATAAAATGTCAATTTCGAGTCTATTTATAGAAAAAGTTGAATCTGAGCATCAAGATAACTTTGTGCATTTAATATCGAAGATCAAGCTGTAAAGTTCTTTTCTTAAGTAATGACCTCAAATTCTTGGTTTTAGTTCATTACCTGATCTGTGAATATCCAGTCACTCAATATTGATGATCTTGCATCGACCAACGCGAGCTAAGGAACATAAAGAATACAAGTTTAGTCAGAATAATAATTCTACGACCCCATGTTATGTGTTTTGGCGATACGAAACCTTTATTAATTTTACATCCTGGTCACGGTATTGAAAAGAGTTCTGATTTCGTAAAATTCAGTAACTAAAGAAGCATTTTATAAAATATTTTTACTTACGAAGGAAAGGCAGATTTTTAAAATGCCTGCGGAAATATTCCTGAGGATACAAATTTATAAACGTTTAATCAGGATCCCGTCTGTTTTCAAGGTATCTGATCAAGAATTTATCTGATAAGTGTGTGGGCGTAATTTGCCGATCAAGTTCAAGAATTTTATCTCCAAAGGTGTTTAATTTAATAACTCTTTTCACTGACTTTCTTACTGAAGAGAATTCCTTTAAAGTGCTGCGCAGGTAGAGCTAATCTGGGCCAATCAGTGTGATACGTTCAAATTTTGTTATATATCGACTGCAATGGCAGATTTCTTTGCCAAGAGAGGAAGCTGCTAGTTCTCCAATTATCCTCTTTTGTATTTGTTTTCGTTATAATAGAATGCCTTTAGATCCACAGCAAGATGCTTGCGTCCTTTGGCCGATTGAAAACCTCTAAATTTAGGTGTCTTGCTGTGTCTCAAATTAACGCTCAACACCTTATGCAATATTTAAGAGAACAGAACACATTCTAAGTTTTTGTGGATATAACGTTCAGACCAGCATAGCGTAAGTATGATTTGATACCTTATTTCTTTGCTGTAATTATTCGTAAGACAACCATCTAGCAATGAAACAAAATGAAATTAAGACCTCTAAGTGACGTTGACATTTCTGAATCGTCGGGGGTCTAACATCACACCCAATTTATCTCTATTCTTACATTTTATTCATTGCAAAAATTTCCAAGAATTTCTGTAGTGGCATAAAATTAACTTGAAGCACTCATATAGGGCAGAATAAAGAAGGAGTACCTATACATATCCAGGTCGTGAAAATTCCTGTTTTAATATTTTCTTCGCAAATTAGTGGCAGCGGCAAGTTGTTGCAAACAAAGAATTCACATCGATCGGTACTTTTTGAATTAATATACAAAAGACAGGTGGCTTGATCACAAAGGTTTTTGGTTTGAAACGTTCTGTTTTTAAACTTCAAGATCTAAGAACAGATAATTTAAGCAATAATAATGATTATCGATACAAAACATTCTCTTATAATCAATGTGATTTGTTGTGTTCTGTTGTCAGCGTGAGCGAGTGCTCTCAACCTTGGAGCAAGACAGTCTCTTTTTAATTCTTGTTTTTCTACCTGAACTATTATTAACGCTGTTGAGTCAAGAGAGAAAACTTAAACCAAAGGTATGTGTCTTCAGGTAAGGGACGCAACAATTTTGAAACTGATAGTCTTTGACTTTGGGTGTTTTTTTCTACATTCCTTTGGATCGTTTTGAACGTGACATACCGACAATTTAGCCGAGGCAACTGAGGCATTACCTATTTTTCTTTAAATAATGCTTCAGTAACTGCATTTTTAATTCAAGGAAGTCACACTGAGCTGCGACGCACAAAAGTATTTAAAAGCTCCTTAACAACTAGTACGTGATTCCATTTCTAATCTTACTAAGAGGCTATCTTCTCAACAAATTTTTGAAAATGTTTGCAGATATTTACACTGATCTGAAAATTATTAGAGGGGAAAAATATTATAACGTTTCTGTTAGGACTGCACAATAACAAGATCAAAACACCTTGTGTACATACTAATTAATAAATATGGTTCTTTGATGTTCGTAGTGGCACGAGTTTTGGCAAGACGAAATGAATTGCGTTTAGGGAATTGAAATTTGAATTTTCAAATGTTGCATATATTTGCCAGGAGACACTTGTGGAGATAATAAACTTTTATCTTGCCTTCCAGTCTTGAGAACAATCAACCGTTTTTTGATTAATGGAAAACGCTTAAAGTTTGAAGCACCACTCTCAAACTTTGTCCTTTGACACTGTGTATAAAGGTCTACCTAGGGTAAATCTTTAAGCAGTTAATAAAATCTCTGTTGATTTTTATTGTGTAAGGGGACAATGAAGTTTATTCAGTGGAACTATTCTATTCAGATGCCGCGTAATTCAATATCCATTCTAATAACATAAATTTTGAAATGACAGATGATAGAATTTTACGGCAAATACAGATACATAAAGAGCGAATTTCAGCCTTTGACCTTTCAAAGGTAGTCGATCGATTTTCTCCTCACTGAAAGGACTCAGAAGGAGAGAGGACTTCTAGTACCATGGGAACCTATGGAGTTTCGTTTTGAATGCAACGGTTTAAATTTGTGACAGAGGATTGCAATCCATCATTACAACCCACTAACATAGCAATAATTAAACTTGATTTAGGCGGCAGAAGGGTAACTAATTGAAAAATATACAATATTCGTATTAGCATGGTCGTTTCCACAAAACTAATTTTCCTGAAATACACGGAAGCAATGAACATCATCCACACCCACTCCTTACACGTTTTCCACCAAGCGAATGTTGAACGAGGCGTAACCGATTCACACTCTAAAAATATCTCTGGCGTTTCAACTTACCCGTGTATAGTGCAAATATTTGGCACAGTCTAATCAGGCGACAATTATAAAGGAAAAGCTACTTTATTTCTTGATAATACTAATAACTTACAAAGGCATTTGGGAAAGCCATATATCGAATGCATATGGGAACTGTCATGGGTCATGATAGTTTTCTTCAAATTGTTGACGATAAATTCCTAGTCAGAGGGAAATGCAAATCCCAAACATAGTTGTTGAATTTTACGCAGCCAGAAGAGGATAATTACAGAAAGGTATTACAACGCGTTTCAAATAGAATTTGTACTCTACACAAGTGTACGTGCACGTTATGAACAACACAAAAAATTTCCAGCAGAGTGCTCTTTATCAGGA